TAAATTATTGTTAATAAAAACATATTCTCTTTATCAAAATACTTGAAAATTGAAAAACAAGGCTCTTCATAAGTCGCTGTTAATGGATATTTAGAAAAAAAGTTGAGCGTAAATCCACAATAAGTTTTTATGAGAGTCTAAAGTTCAACATTTTTACTAAATTCGTCAAAAATAAGAATATTTTCGAATTATTTTGAAGTTACAAATGTATAACATTTTCAGTAATTATAGCAAAAGCAAAGGATTGAAAATTTAAAACAATGTTTCTAATAAGAAGTTCATGCTGTCACCTTAAAACCTAATATTAATTATTCTCATAAAATAGGCTGACGGACATAGACATTCCCCGCTCAGAATCGTTTTTGTATACAAAAATGTAAATTTGACTCCTCCCATATTTCTAAAAGAAACTTTTAGAAAATCTTAAATTAAAATATTTCTAAGTTTTAAGTTGATAAAAAGTCATGCATTTTTAACTTAGAAATAATTTACAACATATTTTTGTGGTTTTAACTAAAGTTTTAAAAATTTGAACTTAAAACACTTAACTAAAATCGTGTCAGTCTCATTCAATGTTAAATGTTATACCATAAAATTATAGTAATTTAATTAGTTTTTTTAAAATATTTTATATAGGTACAAGCTAAACATATTTTAAACTTATGAATTTACTTGTATGTAATTATATTATTATAAGCAAACTATTTATTCAAATTACCCCATATACCTACCTATAAAAAGTATGATTACACTATAACGTTATTAATTCATATAAAAGTAACAATTTTTATTATTTTTTTATATATTTTATTATAAACATTTTTATTTTATAATTACCATAGCCATATTTAAATTATAGCTTAAGGTATTCGGTTTTAAATTTTCGAGAGTTATAATTATCATATTCATCAAAAGATGTATATACCTAAAGATGAACAATAATGGCACTTAGTAGTTATTATATACAGTTTATCAAATAACGGAGTTAAGAACCTTTCAGTAACACCTTTTCGATTCCCATAGTAATTGAATAAGAATTTCATTGATTTTTTTTTCCAAACAACGTTATTCTGTGGTGAAATTAATTTGTTTCATAAACTACAATGGGTTCGTGGACACTGTAAAATCACAAGACAGCTTATACCCTGTTTTATGATAAATTTTATCGCATTAATAATAATAACAACAACATTAAGCTTTACAAATGGTGTATTATAGATTGTACAATTCGATATTACTGGCTTATTGGCTTATAAAAGTCTAAAGTGTCAAGAAAGCAACAGTTTAAATTTACTAACAGGCAGTGTTAGTAAACGTCAATTTAATATAAAATACATAATAAAATATTATGAAGCCAAACACTCGAACCGTAACGCACGTTATGCGATTGATGTAATACCGTTGTAACAAATATATTGGACACGAAATACTGGGGAATCGGGTACGGTTGAACTTTTTACCGTCGAGAAATAAATACACAGCACATTATTATAAGAATATTGCGATATACACGACAGTTGCAGTCGTACACAACAACAACAATAATAATAATAATAATAATAATAATAATAATAATATGTCACTACATTGCAATATATTATATTAATATTGATACGGGACGAGATGAAGAGAAATAACACCTTCACTTCAACTCACTTATGACGTGTGATCACAATAATATGGGTACCTATTACTTTAACTTCGAATAAGGGCGGCTCATGGGTCAGCGCCGCCGGTACAATACGGTATCATATAACAATTCCATTATTAAAATTGTGTATGTTGATTGAGTTTAAAGAGAAGTCCGTGGATCGGAGTCGTTCCAATATCATATATTATAATTTTTATTATATTAATTGCCGGAATCGTCGTACAATATATTAGGTAAATTATTTGTTATGTGGACAAGTTCTGAGTCCATTTATATGAGCGAGTCAAGCGTCCGTATCGCGAATGCACAATGTACTACCTATATAATATAAGTTATAACTTATAACACACGTCACTGGTCGCGTATTATTTTGTGCCGCCGTGCCGGTCAAACAGGTGGTGATGAGAGAGGAGTCCGCTTCCCATGACCTTTCTTCAATGCTTACAATAGTTAATAACTTAGATAAACATTAAATTTTATTTTCAATGATCAAATAGTGTGCGTTTAAAATTAGACACCCTCCTCCCCACCATGACAAGATAATTCGACCACCACAAATGCGTCCGAGGTAAATATTATGTCTGTCTGTCGTCCGTCCGCTATTATGTCACTATCGCGGTAGCTGTGTCTCTAGCGGTACGGACATATTATATACACGTTATATTACTATATTGCGAGGACAGAGGAACCGAAGTCGAGAAGGATAATAAACCAGATATAGCATATTATATTATATACGTACGTGGTACACGCACCCACACAAGCGACACAACAAAGAGATAATTCCGCAGATAATATAATGTGCTGGGTGGGTGGAAACAATGTTGTCTTTCACTGCGCCTACCTAGACATCATTGTGTGCAGCCGTGTGTACACTTGCACATACATACATATATGTGTGTGTGTGTGTGTGTGTGTGTGTGTATGAAGGTACGTATGTATATAGCTGTAATACCGCGACGGGCCGCGTAATTCCCAAACAAAAGCGAAGACCGGAACAATAATTTCCCGACTAATAAAATCGAAATCCGATTGGTTTCGACCCGACGTCGACAGTGTCCTGGCTACAGTCGTGCAATAACAGTACACCCTGCTCATCGTCAATTTCGAACACGGTTAGTAGCTCACTGGCTCCTATGTCGAAATCTGAAGTATACTCGGCACCCTTTAATAATGGTACAAAACCGAGTGCGTCTTTGGTGCAAATCGATTACGTTTTCAATCTATGATTTGACATATTACTACTATTATTATTATTAATAGGGGTGGGGATTAAATGTCAACGTGGTATAGAGAAATAAGCTGAACTCTACCATATATAGTAGGGAATCTACCGCCGCCGTTGTGGCCCAGCCTAACGGCGAGCCCGTCGCAACGATTATAACCATCTGCAAGGGCTATACAGCGCACACGGGGTATACAAAATATTATGTTTTGGGGCTTTTTTTTCAGCTCCATTTCCGACCGCTTTAATAATAATAATACCGACATCATAAAATATGTATTATACAGTCCCCGTTATTATAACGTCATAGTAAGAGATGAATAATATCGAACTCGAGTCGAAGCCGCGTTTGAACATGTATAATATTTATGATACGCTTTCCGTCCCCTATGCCCAGCACCCTACCGCAAGATAGCGGAGGGGAGAAAATGTACTATTTATTTGGTCAGTGTACGAGGAAACAAGCCCGTTTTTACATTCAACACATCAGTAATACGTATGTGTCGAGCATGAATTTCTCTGTTCGGTACGTGCCGCCGAGCTGTTAGAAATATTATCGAGGTTATACTCTGGCCGAAGCGTATACGGCACGCTCAACGAATACGCAATAAGCTCATGCCCAAATATTACGGAATACAACTTTGGGCGTCTAGAGAAAAAATTAAAAAGAAAAACAGTAGTAAAGGGGTGAAGAAGTGAGAAGATGAGAAGTAGGAGAGAATGAAAATAAAAGAAAAGAAAAGGGAAAAAACGAAAGAAAAAGATGACGTCGACAATGACGGTTCTTCTCTTTCCATGTCCAAAAAAAAAAATATATAAGTAAGAAATGGACAAATAAATTCAAGAAGAAGACGACCAAAAGGACTACAGCGATGACCTGCTGACAAAGTACAAAACCGAGAACAATAATAATATAACGTCACTATTGGAAATGACATGATAAATATTCGTCTTTCCGATGCGAGCTGCTCTTCGCGCGGAATAACAATTGTTTTTCTATTTATTTATTTTTTCGCGAGTGACAAACAGCCTGCGGACCTTAGTCGTGCATTCGACTTGACGACATATACTATGGTGTTGTCAAAGTCGTTCTGTAACTTCAATGGTGTATTATGAAATTTTTTCGCAAAAAAAAAAAAATTATTTATCGTTTTACTTTAACGCGTGAGAGTGGTTAAATGTATACACTACTATGGTAAAATTAATATTTTTAATCATTGCATTATTTTTAACCTCTTTTGAAGCGTCAATGATTTTACATCATTTAATATTAAATATTTTAAAAAACAGTCATAATAATAATTAATTAATTAAAAACATTTACATTTTAAATTTCAAAATTTGTTATTTTTTTTTTTACTGGAAAACTTTAATCATATAATATTAATAATTGTTGAATAATCGTCAAAAGAATTTATTTTTGTACCGTATAATTTACGATTGTTAAACATTGAACCTAAAGTACGATGCGACGTGATGACAGTTTAACCAAATACAATAATTTGTCTGGTTGACTTAAAGTTTAATGTTTAATAACCAGATTTAAAGGTTACAACTTACGATGTATAATACACACAGTATGATATATAATAACAATCATCTAAAAGGTTTAAAGTTTCTGCAATGTAAAATGATGGTTGAAGTTTTTCGACTTTTCGGGTTTAGTATAGTTCAAAAACAGTAATATTATCAGTTGTAATGTGCAGGGTATCTTTCGCTCCATTAACGATTTTCATACGATATATTATTATTTTCATATGTCACATGAAATGCACACGTTTGGGGCGTGTAAAAATGGACTCGTAAATTTATTATAACACCATACAAAGTCTAATATTTAAATACGAACATAATATATTTAGTATGGTATTTTTTACGCACTGATGTAATCATCAGTCCATTACATGGTTTGTTTAAAATTTATGGTTTTATATCTGAATGGCCCATTAATGAGAATAACTGGAATAAACGCCATATTATTATACGATATTCAACCATACCTTAAAATGCGTAATAACTAAACCATTGGATATATAATTATAACTTACAACAAGACAAGACCATTTCATGATACAAACTAGCTAGGTACCTATACTAAAATAATTTAATAAATTATTTTCTTACCAATTTAAAGGTTCTTCATACTACGTCACCAATCTTCATGCGTAACCTAAAATATAAAAAATGTTTTTATTAAAATATAGTCGAATAGTTTAATCAGTCGAATTAACCGACCAGTTCTTATACATTTGAGTAACCTTTTTTTTATGTTTATATAGATTAAACATTTAACTTTTTTCCCCCGTAAATGTATATATTTTATGATTTCGAGTTGTATCTACTTAAAAGAAAAATACAATTATACAAACTATATAACAGATCAAATGAAGTAATTAACTGAATAACAAGGGTAATTGTTTGTGCATTGTTTGAAATTCATTCATGGAAAGATAACCTATTATGTCCGCACGAAAGTTTTATTAAATTATTACCATCTTTTGCATATTATACAAATAAAATTTAGTAATGCGCATCAACAAGTATTCAACGACCGACGAACACAATCTTTGAATTTCCAATTAAAATCAAACAAATAATTAGTATATAATATAGTCAGTGTTTTTAATTATCATTAATTAGGTATTTACGAATATAATATTACAGCCACGCAAGATTAATGATCAATTAATAAAAACTGATCATATTATTTCAATGAGACATCTGCCTATTCTATATAAACAACATCCAAAAATGTTATCAAACATTGGATAAAAAAATAATATACAAAATATGGTGGTGATATTTTTTTTTTTTAGAAACTTTAGCTGCAGGTATACACGCCTTTTCTTTCGTATTTAATGGCGATATTCGATAAACCGACGAAAAGCATCAATAAACGGGCGAAGAAATATTATCAAACACCCTTTTGAAGACAAAAACTTGACCATTCCTGACTAAACGAAGCTCTGACCAGAATCGTTTTTCAAACATAAAGATTGATGATTGCTTTCACATCAAATACACACGTTTTCGCCGCGTTCCACCAATTTCGCGCATCTCACTTCTTCTTCTTTTTTTTCTGTTAACGCGGATCTCATACACGACTCAATCTCCAATATTTTCCCAGAGCAATAGCGGTAGGTAATAGCATTCGACATTTATTTTATTTTTAAATATCTCTTGGAGGCGTGATTTTCTTTAAATTTTTATTAAATAAAATTGCTGAAAAATGAAAGCAATCGCATTAATAAAAACATATGTTTTCCTTCAAGAGTAGAGAACGATTTTGTTGAAAAATATCTGACCTTATAAAATGTAAAGTCGTCTCGTCGTTTTTTTTTCAATTAACACGATGATAAGAATAATAACATTTATTTGCATACATTTTCGCGATTGTACGAGCCTAAACATTGGATAACTTCAACAATAATAATAATAATAATATACAGGAGTTAATGTACATTGAATATGACGAGCGCGTAATGTACAAATGTATGACAATAATATTATATTTTGGGTGTAAACGCATGATAGACTGAGACATCGCGCAGTCATATTCCATATAACCGTACCGACATAATATGCTTTGCCGGGATAGAACAAACACGTTTGACATAAGTCCCGGACGTAAATTGTTCCCGACAAAACCACTTTGATTTTGATTTGTACGTGTTTAGATGGTAATGTAATATTTTTTGCACGCGAAAAAGATATAAAAACACGTCGCGCACTAAACACACACACACACACACACACACACACATATATATGTGTGTGTGTGTGTGTGTGTGTGTGTGTAGGAACTATGCCTGCGGTGTAAACACGTGAAAAATAGTGATATTAAATTCTCTACTCTGCGTTTAAAACACTTCACGTTTTTGTAGCTGTAGAGTCGAAAGCACATATAGAAAATAAAAAATAAGCGTTACGTATTGCCTAAATATACATATATATATATACGCTTCGTAATATATTTACATATTATAAACATATTGTACGCAATGTTTGATGCGTGTTGTGTGTGGGATAAAATGTAATAATAGGCTTTCAAAGTTTAAACATTTTTGACATGGGTTCTAGTACGAAAAGTTTAAATAATCAACCATGTAATATATATATATATATATAATATGTTATATATTATATCTATCTATTCCGAATATTATATTGTATCGCTTTGTGTAAGATATATCATTTATGTGTAAGAATATTATGTATCTGAAGATTAGACCATAGACGTGTAGTAACTGGTGGTGTATAATTATAATAATATTATTTTTTTAATAACTATATATAAAAGAGTCTGAGGTTTTTTTCCCCGAAGCAGTTGTTCATATTTTGACAGTTTTGAAGTACCTATATAAATAGTTTAAAATTTTAAAATAAATCTAAATATTTCTAACGAATAATAATTTTACACGAATAATATCTATTTTGAATTTATTAGGTAGGTACAGCAAAATTATGAAACAAATTATCCGTTTAATAATTTACAGTAAAAAATGGTGGTTCTTATTTTAAAAACAGAAATTAGTATTGCATCAGAACACTATTCTTAGGTTAAATAGGAAGTACAAAAAAATTCAATCGTTTGAAAAATCGTCTTTGAGTATATTTTAAAATTCTAAAAATCAGAATTTGAATAAAATAATTATTAAAGGGTAAAAATAGTGATGAGGAAGCTTGGTGAATCACCCTGTGTGTATACAGTGAAAGTGTGAACGTTTATGGGAACCACATTTATTTAATTCTATTTAACGAATTATAAATTATAATACGAATTTTATTCTGTCACTCATGATGATGATTCGCGTAATATGGAAGCATCATTGTTTATATAATACATAATTATTACAATGTGATGTATGTCTTACGATTAACAGCTGAGAGACAAAAGCCCGTCTTTCACCTCCACACACTTCCCTCTGCATCGACACAAATTACGCCACACACAGCGTATAATATACACATATGCGACGTGCGTACATTATAATAATATACTAATTTGTCACCGCCACCGAGGCCCAAGACGACAATAAAACACTCGATAAGTGCGGGTGCGTACTCGAAATAGGGTCGGCCGGTGAGCTTAAACGCCTATAAAAAACGATTCGTAATTGAGCCTGACAAAGAATTTATGTCGCATATACCATATTATTATTGTTATATTGCTATAGTGCGTGTGCGTGTGTGTGTGAGTTCATTCAATCTCCGCTTTTTTAAAACATGTCGCTTTTTTCGTGAGTAATATAGTATATAGTCATCGCCACGATCGTTGTCGGGTATTTGGTTTTTTTTTTCATTATTATTGTAGTTCCCTCGGTCCAATTTAAATATACCAGAGCCCGTGGAATAACGATCGAACTACCGTATATATAATGCGCATTGAGAGTAGCCTTTGGGCGCGGTCTCGAGTAAGCTGTGGGAAAACCATAGACATAAGACGAATAATTTAAATCTATTTCGATGGACTACGCGCAATACCCACGTCTGTAAAAACACTGTGGCTATATTATATACGAATAATGATATGTAAAAAGGATGGAATAGAAAATTGTAAAATGCATCAATATACGGGACAAATCTATTTTTACCTCAAAAATATGATATACGAAATACGCGCATTCAACATTTTCGAAAATACAGCAAATACGAATAAAAATTTTCCTTCATTTTAAGGGAAGACGTAATTTTTCAAAAACCAAATCAACTAAGGCAGTTAAAAACTTAAAATGAATAGATCTATTATGTAAATTAATAGTAAGAACATTATCTGTGTTTGTATAGTTCAATTTTTTGGCGAGTGTTGCTGGTATAATTTAAGGTAAATTAAACTCCTCATAACTCAATTAAAAACTGAATCATCGTAAAAAACTCAAATAGCCACCACAGACACTGTTCTTACCATAAAATTTAATTAATTTATAGATTAACACAAATTTTTAAACTATTGGAGCTAAATGTGATCTTTTGATGCGTAAATTTGATATGTTACGCACTTACTCGTAAGACAGAGACAACAAATGTCTGTGTTGAGGTTCTCTTAACGCGAAGTCGATATTTCGAGAAACGACTCGAGTAGAGGTTAGCGGTCTGTAGGACATGTGATATGATTGTTTAGAAATTAGTAATTACCTACTCGTATAAATGCTAGATTATAAATAGCTTAGTACAGATTTACGTCATCCTACATTTTTTTATTTTTAAGATTTAATCTACATAATATTTTAAGTTATGTATAATAAAATATACTAGTATTTTCAAATAGTGTCATTGAACTTTTTATTAATTATTGTTACCATTATAAATTCTACCTATAGGTTATACCTACCTATTTTAATATAACCAAGCTGTATAGTTAGTGTTAATTATAAATTAAGGACTTTAAGCTACATCAATACAAACTGCAGTTGCTTTTTTTGTGTGCCCGTGTATGAAATATGTATGTACATATATATACATGTATAAAAAATAATAATAATTCATAAAATAAAAATAAATTAAATTATTGTAAACGGGGAGGATGATATCGGGCGAGGGCGTAAAAAAGTTATAAATACGTTATCAATCACTCAACGGCGTGGTGGAGGGCACTTGCATGTTTCCTCGTAGGTATACGAAGTTATGTTATTATTATTATTGTATATACGTAAAGTACGACGGGCTCAGGCGTCCGTGACACGACGGCGATGTTGTGTTTACCCGGGAAAAGGATCGTGTAATTTTCATGCCAACACACAATGTTTACCTAACCGGTGATGGAAATTTTATTTAAAAATGTTTACGGACACGATCATGTGCTGCTGTTGCTGAGCTTTTTACACGTCAGCCGTCGAGTGTTTTCATTTATGGATTATCTCCGACTCGTTACGTACCTAATTATTACAAACACTCGTTTTTAAAAACGTCAGAGCGGTGTGATTTCTATAATGATGTTATCTTCTTGAACGCCACACGGCATTGCGGTGGTTTTTTTTTAATACTATTTTAATTCATTCCGTCCAAAAACATTTTGGTCTTCTCGCTTTGGAGCAGAGTACATATTATTATGTAATGTTACAAGTTGATTAATAAATTTGCATTTAATTCAGATAACGTACTCCAATTTCGTTAGCATATAATAAAATCATGCGATCGTATTTTATTATTGACTTATTTCCAGGTTTTTAT